TGGGCTGCTTATTCATTCTTGAAGTCAGGAGATAAAATCAGCCATGCCTAAATTATATGGACTGAAAATAAGGAGGTTAGTTCTTTTGAAGGTCAGTGCAAGGTCTCATGTATCTAAATTCTCTGGGAGCTTAAACTGATTGCACATGACTACAGACTGGCTATTACATCATTATGTAGTTGTAATACCCAGTAATTTTTATTTAATCAGTGGTCAACATATCAGCTTCTGTTTGATGTATTAAGGAGTTATATCTAGAATCCAGGCTTTAGCTCTAGAAAACATGCCTGCCTGAGGCAACTTTTGCAAACCTACAAAGTGATTTTGCAGGATTTTCAAAATAACATGTCTGAAGGTATAAAGCATATACTGCAGCTATTGAATGTTTCTAAGGACCTGGAATACCTCTCTCCCTCCCTCCGAGAGACTGAGTGCCATTGCCAGAAATCCAAGCACACTTGCCCCACTGGGAAAAGGAGACTGACAAGCCATGGTCAACAAATACCACCCAGCTTGACATCTCTTGGTATCTGTAGTGGATTGAATAGTAGCCCTCAAAAGGGCTACTATTTATCTATCCAAAACTTCAGAATGTGACTTTAATTGGAGTTATGATCTTTACAGATATAATTAAATTAACCCTAACCCTAGCATCATCCTAGATTAAGGTGGGCTACAAATCCAAAAACATGTGTCCTTATAAGAGACAGAGAAGATACATAGAGACACAGGAAAGAAGAAAATGTGAAGAATGAGAGACAGAAATTGGAGTTATGTTACCACAGGCCAAGGACTGCCAGGAGCCACCAGAAACTGGGAGAGGCAAGGAAGAATTCTCCACTAGAGTCTTCAGAGGGAATGTGGCCCTGCCAACACCTTGATGTTGGACTTCTGGCCTCTAGGACTCTAAGAGAATTAATTTCTGTTGTTTTAAGCCACGAAGTTTGTGGTAATTTGTTGCAGCAGCCTACAAAGCTAATATAGAATCCACTGCTAAAATTATATCCTTTGCACTTATCAAAGCCAGCTGTCAATTCCCTAAGGTTTATGCATCTGAGCATTCATTTTTGCAAAATCTTCATCCCAGTCTTTCACAAAACTACAACAAAGCACCAAAAGTTCAAAAAAGGAAGGGTGGGGAAGTGGTAGGCAAGAACAAAAAAAGAAGGGGTAACTAAAACATTTTAAATTTAGTTTATTTTTCTTCTCCTACCTTTTATAAATAAGAAAAAGAAATCAAAACACAATAATTTTTTCTGTGGAATCCAAGTTATTTAATATGCTTGATGGTCAAATGCCTTAGTAAAAAAAAAGGTCAATAATAATAATGTTCTCCTATCAATTATATTATTATTTATTGTAATTTTCTCCTTTTAAAGTTTATTCTGTTCATATTAGGTTAATGGCAGTGGAACCCCATGGAATACGTTGCTATACACTGACTATTTTAGGTTTTCCTCTGAAATCAACACAATTTTATTTGTGTCCACTACAAAGTCCTCTGTGGTAATGGGAGACTGCCTAGGACAGCTTTTCTCCACATGTTTGCTTAGCACCCCAGACTGCTCTGATCTTATGGCATCTCAACATCAACCTGCGCTTCTCTAACTGCTGTGACAAGAAAAGAGAGCAGAAAAGAGCCTTGCACTCACAGCTACATATTTCTGCTTGGAGGTGACCTAAATCATTCACATTTCATTGGTTAAAGAAAATCACCCCTCAAGGTAACAGAGAAGTAAAATCCTCCAGTGTTCCCAGAAGGAGAACAGAAATATTCATAGTAGCTACTCAAATATACAACTATTTCTCATTCTCATATGTTTATATTCTTGAATGACCACTAGTCTCAAAGTTGCTTCAAATGATACCTTACTTTTCTAATTACTTATTGTTATTCAAAAAAATAGAATTATAATTCTACTCTTAGAAAAGAAGTTTTCTGAAAAAGAGGGAACATACAAGGAATATTCGTCTCAAGTGCTGTCCCTTGTATTTCAGGTGATGTAAAAATATTTCCCTACTGGTGAAATTACATTGGTATCAGTGTACCAAGGTAACTTGACAATAAAATTACAGTTCCTAAACTCATAGTCATGAAACTGAAACTAATTACTGAAGTTGAATAATTGAAAGATAATAACGTATGTTTTCTCAGTATTTTACTGAAATATACTGGAGGTATAAGGCATATACTGCAGTTATTCAATGTTTCTAAGGACCTGGAATACCTCTCTCCCTCCCTCCGAATTTGTTTTCACTGGGGTATTTGAAAACTGGAGCCTCTACAGAAAAATGAGAACAACACTGTTATTCTCAGTATGTATATAGGACAAGGATCTTTGCCTAGGTTTTTTCAAATAGATAACAAAGGTGTGAAGCAGCTAACTTGAATAGATAATTAATATTAACCAAAATTAATCCAATCATAACAATGATTATAATCTGGTAATAATTTCTCAGCATACAGAACTTCACTTTCGAGGATACGACCAATTTTAAGTCAATAAATTCCCCAAATGAACAATTAATTTGAATTTTAAATATACCATGAAACAAGTCCTTAAGAGTATATTTTCTCATAAATCTATATTATTCTATACTTTTATTAATACTAAAATATTCAGTGAATAACATTAATAATTGGAAAAAACAAGTGGAAAAGTAGGAAAATAAATCAGTTGGTTTATCGTTATAAGGAAGAAGAGAGGAAGTAATACAATACATTTCCTGGAAGTAATCTGATAAAGAAAGATAAAACTACTGAAAGTTAGGTTAACTACACTGAGATTCTGAATGGGACAAGAACATTAACTACCAATGGGAAATTTATTCGTTTTTATATTAAAATAAATACTAAGTAACAATACCACTCCACAATCATCTTTTCCTCCACTGCAAAATTACCTTTTCATAAAAAGTTGCTTTTCAAACTCTGTAGTCTTTGGTTTACTGGTCATTCGCTAATATTTGAGATTCACGTCCATGTTAATATCTTCAGGTCATATTTAAAAGGCAACTGATATTCAACAAATGATGCTCAATTTCAGTAATAATCTTATTATTAACCCTAGGTGAAGTAGCTAGATAATGGCTTCATCAACCTATGTAGATTCTTGAACTCAAGTTATTCTACTCTAGCTTCAAATGCCAGCCTCCAACTCGTTTTTCTGGCTTCACAGAAGAAAATATACGTTTACCTTTTGCATGCTATTTGTAATTTTCAATTTGGCCTCAAAACAGTTACCTCACTATCCCTCCCAATTTTTTGATCATTTAAAAATATTCCCTTTTCCAGGGCATTTTCCATCTATTTGACTATGTTTCTCTTCAGCTAAGGCGATGAGAATTACACATAGTTTTCTGAGTACTACTAGCATGAAGAAAGCCTTCATCTGCTTAGTTTCCAGGAAACTTGATAATAACAGACAGCATTTCATTGCCTATGTTTTAAACAGTCACAAATAGAATGAGATCCTCCACAGACATTTTGGTTAGACAAAGAAAAATGTAAAAGCAATATTACACCGAATTCAAGTCTTTTCTTGAAAAGACTATTGTTAGTTTACATAGGTTGTTATTTTACATAGGTTAGATTGTGGTCTCCTTGGAGCCAGACACCTTGCCTACCTTGTTTCACTGTTGCTGTGTCCCTAGGTTTTACAGCAGGTATATAGGAGGCTCTCCATATGTGCTTGTGGAATGGATCCATAAGTAAATATTGAAAGTCTCTAGAGGAAATACTAAGCCTGGACATTAGTATCATTAGCAAATGTAGCTATGGGGACATAGTAATATGAATTGGGGAAGAGAAATTATTCTGTGACTCCCTAGTCAGGATTTTATAATCTTGCTAAATTTATTTCATATTTAGAGGACCTGATAATTTCTCAGCAACCTGACTCCAAAATATTTTTGCCAAAAAGCTGGGTATGATACTAAAATTTGAAAAATTACAGCCTATTTTGTGCAATGCTCTAAGCAATGGCTCTGTATCAACTCAAATCACCAAACACTTAACTACCAAATTATATTAATTTCTTACAGACTGTTTTCACAAGGGGACTGTCATGGGAATTTTTCCTGTATGTTTATCTTAATGTTTATAAACAAATATATATTAATTTAATGCTTTGTAACTTCAGAATGACTAGAAAATACAATACTATCTTTATTAAATATTTTTCAGCTGGCTTTGAAAAACTGCTATCAAACATACTGTCCAGTATATTGCTAAACCCTTAGTAAATAATCAGGTATCAACTCTTCCTTGAATGTATAGCAGGAAGAGTGTTTTTTCCTCTCCCTAAGAATTACTATAATTTCCTTTTATTGTTAGATTCATATTTCTGTTATTCACTTCCAGGACTTAACACTTAGCCTATGCTTGATTTTTGGATAAGTTGCTCCCACACTCCTCTTGGTCTTTTACTTTGGCTTTTAAACAGATCTTTTAAAAATTTGCTCTTGCAATTTTTTCCCATTGTAAGGTACCTTAAATATTTTATGAAAGGCAAAGAAGTGCATTAAATCAAGCAAGTTTTGGATATCCTTGGGAAATTTGGAGAAAACTTGGTAAAAATACTGAACTTAGTTTTTCTGAACCTCAGCACCTTTATCCATAACATGCGACTAAAGTATCCACAAAGTTATTGGAAAGGCGGATAATTAAAAAATACAGCGTTTTTCGAACATTTGTGGATAAACGAAAGGGGCTCAATAATATTTTCCTAACTGGATCCTCTGGATAACAAATTATTAAGCCTTTTAGACCCAGGAGAAAACAAGAAGGTCATTGGCTTCAGGAAATTGCCCATAATGACAATGAAGTAAAGTTTGTATGACTTAAGGTAAAATGTGACACAATAAATATATTTTAAATTATTGCTTAAAATGATTTTTTATTGCCCACTTTGAAGTCAGTGAAGTCAGACGGTTTCTGTAATGTTACCTGTGATTTTTTGTCAGGGCTTGAATTTCACTATGAGATATAAGGTAATAAATATACCTGAGATGTTACTGTATTTGATTATATTTAGATCCTGTGTTAAATATGTTCAAGACAAGTTAGAATTTCAGTGATTTACTATCCTATTTTAATCGAGGCGTATGACAATTTGTCCTTGTTTTTTGTCCCAAATTCCATTCAACGTGCAACTGCAAGTCACCCAATAAGTATCTACATTACGTGGTAAGATTTGTTTCAATATTAGTGAATACCTTGAATACCTTTTAAAGAGTGGCATTTGAAAATTGGTTGGATAACGTCAATTTAAAAAAATTAAAACCAAAAACTAGGAAGGTGAACTTACATTAGCACAAAGATCTGAATTTCTTTCTAGATGTTCGTTTCCTTCTGAAGTGTTCGAACCCAGAGGTAGGCTGGGGCTGAAGGCCATGAGGTCGGCCTTGGGCGGCCCCTCCCCAGAGCACACCCGCTGCCGCCTCTGCTGCGAGCACGACCAGCTCCCCACCGCGCTGGAGCACACCAGCGGGGGCCGCCCCGGCCCGCACGCGCCCTCGCTGCGCGGCGCCGAGCACCGCAGCGCCGCGTACAGCAGCAGCGTGAGCACCAGCAGGCTGGACACCGCGCAGATGCCGACGACCAGGTACACGTTGACGTCCACCAGCGCCGCCTCCGTGCTCCGGGCGCCCGCCGACGCCCGCGACGACGCCCTGGGCGCCTGGCCGCTCTCCACCAGCGACAGCAGCACGGTGGCCGTGGCCGTCAGCGCCGGCTCGCCGTGGTCCTTCACCAGCACCAGCAGGCGCTGGCGCGGCGCGTCCGCCTCGTCCAGCGCGCGCGTCGTGCTCACCTCGCCCGTGTACAGCCCCACGCGGAACGGGCTGCGCGCGCCCCCCGCCGCCGCCTGCAGCTCGAACGACAGCCACGCGTTGTAGCCCGAGTCCGCGTCCACCGCGCGCACCTTGGCCACCACGTGGCCCGCGCCCACCGACCGCGACACCAGCTGGCTCGTCGCGCCGCCGCCGCCGCCCGCCCCAGGCGGCAGCAGCGCGGGCGCGTTGTCGTTCTCGTCCAGCACGAACACCTGCAGCGTCACGTTGCTGCCCAGGGGCGGCACGCCCGCGTCGCGCGCGCTCACCTGGACCTGCAGCAGCTCCAGCTCCTCGTGGTCCAGCGGCTGCAGCGCGTACACCTTGCCGCTCTCCGCGTGCACCGACACGTAGCTCGACAGCGCGCGCTCGCCCACGCGCCGCTCCACCAGCGAGTAGGACACCCGCGCGTTCTCCTGCGCGTCCGCGTCGCGCGCCGACACCGTGAAGATGTGGCGGCCCGGCGGGTTGTTCTCCCTCACGAACACCGTGTACTCGGGCTGCGCGAACGCCGGCGCGTTGTCGTTCACGTCGGCCACTTGCACGGACACGCTGGCGGTGGCCGACAGTGGAGGCGAGCCCCCGTCCCGCGCTGTCACCAGCAGCTCGTAGGTCGCCACGCTCTCGCGGTCCAGGGCGCTGTCCAGCACCAGCGAGTAGTAATTCTTGAAAGTGGACACCAGCTTGAAGGGGACTTGGGGCGACAGGGTGCAGGTCACCTGCGCGTTGGCACCGGAGTCACGGTCGGACACGGAGATGAAGGCGATGATGGTACTGAGTGGCGCGTCTTCTCTAACAGGCAAGGTCAACGACGTGACTGACAGTTCCGGAGCATTGTCATTTACATCTAGCACTTTCACTAAAACCTTGCAGTGATTTGACATGGGAGGACTTCCTTTATCAGTTGCTTTTATCTGGATTTCATAGGATTTTGTTTCTTCATAATCCAGTTTGCCAATTAGCCTAATTTGTCCTGAGCTGGAATCAATTTTGAAGTTTTTCTGAATGTTAAAGGGAATATCATTGCCAAAGGAAAAGACAATTTCGCCATTTACACCGTCATCAGCATCAGAGACGTTTAATGTTGTCACTAATGTTCCATTTGCCGTGGTCTCTAATAAATATACTCTGTACACGGACTGGCTAAACGACGGGGCATTATCATTAACGTCCAGCACCGTGATCAGCAGCTGAACTGTATCTTCCAGCTCTGGTTTGCCACCGTCAGTGGCTGTCAATAACAAATGAAGTTCTGGTGTTGTTTCTCTATCCAAAAATTTCCTCAATTCAAGAGCAAGTGACTTACTTAGTTCATCATTTGCCTGTACATCCAAAGAGAAATAATCATTGGGGCTGAGGGTGTATGTTAGAAGAGCGTTGGGACCAATGTCCCCATCAGCAGCGCCCTCTATAGGGAAACAGGAACCCAGCAGTCTAGATTCAGGAATAAACAACCTTTGTTCTCTCCATCTGAAAACCGGTGGATTGTCGTTAATGTCCTTCACCTCCACCTCCACATGGAAAACCTGCAGCGGCCTGTCCACGACCACCTCCAGGTGGATGCTGCACTCCAGGCTCCGCCCGCACAGCTCCTCGCGGTCGATCCGAGAATTCACAAACAAAATGCCATTCTGCAGATTTACCTCCAGAAGGTCCCCGCGGCCTTTGGACGCCACCCGGAACAGGCGCGGCACCAGCTCCGCCAGCTCCAGCCCCAGGTCCTGGGCGATGCGGCCCACGAAGGTGCCGTGTTTGGCCTCCTCGGAGACCGAGTAGTGGAGCTGGCCGCTGCCCGCATCCCAGGCTGTCAGGAGCAGAAGCGACAGCAGCAGACGCCGGGCTCCCGGGCCTCCTCGCCTAGGCAACAGCATCGCAAAAGCACAACTCCTTTCGTACCGCTCGTTCCTTACTTAAAAATTATGCTTTTTTTACTTCCTATTTTCAGTAATTTATCTCCTTACCGATTTTATCTTTTATGGGCAGTGACGAAATGGAACTTCCTCCCTAGGTTTTGTTGCCAGTACATTTCCAGTACAAGACTTTGTGGTACACAGCGACATCATGTGGCTAATAATGTATTTTAGATGCATTCCTTGTTCAAAATAGTATTCTATACTCATTTGCAATATACTCAGCACATTTTCAATTTTATGTCCTTTAAAGACCAGAATATTGCAAATCTCACTTGAGAGTATGTATTTCAGAATTTCCTTTAGCTGTTACCACAAAGATATTAGGAATTTGAGGAAAATCAAGATATGTAAAATAACCTTATATCTTTTTACTTAAAATAATTTATCGACTCATGTATTTTTATTATTAAATATTTGTAACTGAATACTGGAGTTTTAAAATAAGGGTCTTTGACCACTAAAGTTTTCCTTATCCTAGGATGGTTTGGGTGTTTATTTTTTAAATGATGTATCTGGTTCTTACATATGAAATTTTTGGAAATGTTTCTGAAATACATTTAAAATTCCTTCAGTTTTGTGTAAACAATGACATTATTCTGATACTTTAAATCTTAGAATAATGATATTTGGGACATTTCCCTTTGTTGCTCACTATATAACATCTACATAAATGCTGATCTTGTAACTTTGTCCTCCAAAAGTCATTATTCCAAATTGAATTAGTGTCCATTGGCTCTTTATTCCTACATCAAGTTTTCAGCGATATTTTTTTCTTATTAAAACAAAATATTGTCATATTTTAATATAAACAATATGAATATTTAATATCAAGTACAAATTTCTGAGAATTGTGTAATAGCCCATAATCAAAATTTTTTATGTAAATCTAAGGTGTAGATTAGGTTTTCAGAAGAAACTCTTTGAGAATACCCTACTAATAAACTTCTCTTTTAACTTCAGTCCAGTTCATAATCAGAACACCATAGCTACTCAAATTTTGTCTTAGAAATGTGGTCTGAATAAAACTATCACTAGTTAATTTTCTTTAAAATAGTCTTAACATTTCTACTTTGAATATTATGGGTATTTAAGGATATTCATGTTAATAAGATTAATATATTATGTCTTCATGATAAGAAAGTGAAATCATTGTTTACTTGATAACTAAGATATACACTAAATGAAGCTTTTTTTAAAAAAGGTTATAATTTTAATAGTTATATTCAGTGTATTAATTACTTTCTTACAAAGATACAACAATACAAGGTCCATCAATATCCTGTTTTCAAAAAGAAACACATTTAGAACTTGGACATTTTCTAAATGTCAGGCGATTTGGACAATACTGTCAATATTTGATGTGCAAGGTACTTTAATGTGTTATAAGTTTCCTTGTGATACATTTTATTACTATGAAGAACACACAGAATAAATACTAATTCAACCAACTCACATTCAAATACCTTAAACATAAAACTATTGAGCTAAATACACTTTTTTTCCACAGTTAAAAACTTATTTTGCCTCTTAAAACATATCTATAGGGAATTGAAAATTACACAATTTTGATACTTAATTATTGAGAACTACAATAGTCTTTAAATATAATTTCAACTACAAACCACATTGTAATATTTCATCCTCTGTCTCTTTTGATGAGATTTGGACATATTTTCTAGACAATTTTCATTTATATTAACGAGATGACACTTAATTGAAACTTTGAAAATAGTTAGTAATGGACTTAATTATCATGGTAGTGAACATAATCCTCAATATGAAAACAAATGGGAGGTTAGTGCCTTGAAAAAAATGTTATCAGACAGAGCTGTTAAAAGATCAGAGTGTATGTTATTGAAGCTGAGCTGGTATAAACTCAAATTAGAGTGTTATAACTTTAAGATATGAAATGTAATGTCCATGGTAATTACAAAGAAAATAGCTATAGAATCTGAATAGACCTATAACTAGTAAAGAGATCTAATCAGTAACAATTTTTTTTTAATTCCTGACAAAGGAAATTTCTTGACTTGAATGATGGCTTCACTGATGAAATCTACCAAGCATTTAAAGAAGAAATAATACCATCCTCAAATATTTCCAAAAAATTGAGAGGAAGGAACACTTTCTAACTCATTCTATTAGACCGTAATTACTCCGATATCAAAGCCAGACAAAGACACTACAAGAAAACTACAGATCAATATCCCTTATGAACATTGCTACCAAAATCCTCCAAAAACATATTAGAAAACTGAGTTCCAGCAACATGTTAAAAAGATTATACACCATGAGCAAGTGGGATTTATTCCTGTTATGTAAGGATGGTTCAACACACATAAATTGATCACTGTTTCACTAATAGAATGAATGACCACAGGATCATCTAACAGATGAAGAAATAGCATTTGAAAAAATTCAATACCCCTCCATGACAAAAACACCCAAATCCTAGGAACAGAAGGAAACCATCTCAACAACAAAATACCATATATGAAAACCCACAGAGAACATCATACTCAATGGTAAAAAAAAACTGAAAGCTTGTCCTCTAAGATTAGGAACAAGGCAAGGATGCCTGCTTTCACCTCTTCTGTTTAACATAGTACTAGAAGTTCTAGTCAGAGCAATTAGACAAGAAAAAAAAAGCCATCCAAATTAAGAAGGAAGAAGTAAAATTATCCCTGTTCACAGATGATATGATCTCATATGTAGAAAACCCTAAAGATTACACAAAAAGCTTAAAATTAATAAAAGAATTCAGGAAAGTAGCAGGACATAAAGTGAACACACAAAAGTCAGTTGTCTTAGGATACACTAAGAATGAACAGGAAATTAAGATGTTAAGATGTCAATACTACCCAAAGCTATCTACAGATTTAATACAATCCCTAGGAAAATTCCAATGATTTTTTTTTTGCTGAAATAGAAACACCAATTTTAAAATTCATTTGGAATCACAAGAGACCCAAAATAAAACAATTCTGAAAAAGAACAAGGTTGGAGGGCTCACATTTATTGATTTCAAAACTTACTACAAAGCTATAGTAATCAACAATGTGATACTGACATACAGACAGACATATAGACTAATGGAATAGAATAGAGAGTTCAAAAATAAATCCTCACATATATGGTCAGATGATTTTCAAAAAGGGTGACAAGACCATTCAATGGAAGGAAAGGCAGTCTTTTAAACAAATGACTGAGAAAACAGGATATCCGCATACAAAAGAATGAACTATATATCCTTACCTAAACAGCACATACAAAAATTTACTCAAAATTGACCCACAACCTAAGTGTAAGACTTAAAAACTATAAAACTCTAGGAGAAAACAGGGCAAAATCCTCATGACACCAGGTTTGTCAATGATTTCTTGGATGATACCAAAGGCACAGGCAACAAAAGAAAAAATAGACAAATTAGACATCATAAAAATTGAAAAATTGTTCCATCAAAAGACACTGTCAAGGACTTCCCATTTCTAGTTCCAAATGGTAGAACATTGGAAATCACCACTCTGTCCTAACAAGTAAAAAGCTTAACAGAGTGACAAATCAACAACTTTTCTTGGATGTGTTAGAGATAGGAGAACACGGGGCAAATCACTGCCTCCAAGATTACAGAGACAGACAGAAAAATTCAGGGAATCACAGATTACTGGTACAGCAACTCAAGAGTAGAGAGTACTGTGAGAACCAATGTTGGAATGGGAAAATCTGAACTGTAATTGAAAAATTGCTGGGGGCTCAGTGTGTTAATGTCCAGCAGTTGAAAACTCTAGGGAGAAGCAGTTATGGGGGACTCCACAATATTTTGAGATTTATCTCCAAGAGCTTGACCAGATTCCCATAGTAAATATCAGGGGGAAATCCCCTCATGCTTCTGGCACAAACACACAAAATTTGAAGAGATAGAACAAATATCAGAATCAGACATGACAAGGATGTTGGAATTATCAGACCAATGCCAGACAGCTAAGGGCTTTAATGGAGAAATCAGACAGCCTGCAAGAACAGACGGGCAATGTAAACAGAGAGACAGGAAACCTAAGAATCAAAAAGAAATGTTAGTGATAAAAAACCCTAACAGAAATGAAGGATGCCTTTGATGATCTTTTTAGTAGACTGGGCATAGACAAGGAAAGAATCTTTGAGCTGGATGTTATGTCAATAGAATCCTTGAAAACTAAAAAGCACAGAGAACAAAGACTGAAAAAAAACAACAGAGTATCCAAGGACTGTGGGACAACCAGGAAAGGTCTAACACACACATTACGGAATACCAGGAGAAAGAACAGAGAAAGGGACAGAAGAAATAACTAATAATTTCCCCCAAAATTAATGTCAGACATCAAAGCACAGACCCAGGAAGCTCAAATAACACCAAGCAGTATAAATGCCAAAAAATCTACACATAGGCATATAAATTTCAAACTTCAGAAAATCAAAGATTTTAAAAAAATCCTGAAAGAAGCCAGAACAATAAAACACCTCACCTATAGAGGAACAAAGATAAGAATTATATCTGACTTTTCAGAAACCACTTCTCCACAACTTGATAAAGAACATCCATGACAAACCTACAGATAACATTATATCTAATTATGGAGGATTGAACGCTTTCATTGTAAGACCAGGAACAAGGCAAAGGTGGCTATCTCACTATTCTTATTTAGCATAGTGTTGGAAGTGCCACCCTTTGCAATAAATCCAGAAAAGGAAATAAGAGGAATACAGATGAGAAAGAGAGAATGTTGTCAGTATGGTGCAGCAGGCAAAAAAAGAAAGAAACAAACAAAATCGTCCCTCTTTATCTATGACACAATTGTGTACATTAAAATCTCAGGGGGGAAAAACTCCCTAGAATAAGTGAGTTCAGTAATATCAGAGAAAACAAGATAAACATACAAAAATTAATTCTCTTCAAATACTAGTGATGAAAATATACATACCAAAATTAAATTTAAAGTGCAACATTTACATGAGCTCAAAAAAAGATATTTAGGTGTAAATAACAAAGTATTTACAGAACTTGTATTTTGAAACCTACACAAGACTGATGAAAGAAATCAAAGAATATCTAAATAAATGGAGAGACATACTGTGTTCATGAATTGGATGACTCAACCTGTCATGGGAAAATGTCAATTTTCCCTAAATTAATATATAGATTTAACACAATTCCTACCAAAATCCCAGCAAGATTTTCTGCAGACATAGACTAGATTACATAAATGGCAAAGAAACTAGAATACTTAAAGCATCTTTTAA